AGCAACATTTTAATAAACATTAAATTCTCAACTTCATTAGAGTTCGTAGTCTGATTGAACAAATAACTTTTTTCAATTAATTAAACTTTATGTGCATTATTAAATTCACTAGTTTCGTGGTCCGCTTGATCAATTAATATCATACAATTAATTAAGGTTTTTAGTTGGGATAAAAAAGTCAATGGCACGCCATGTTGAGCCAGTCGTGACCACTTGAGCTATCTGACCTCGATCCACTCGGTAGAGCAGCGGCGTATCAAGCCGAAGATCGTGGGTTCGAATCCCGCTCGTGACATTTTATCTCAAACAAAACCTTACATAAAGTTTAATTAATTGAAAGAAGTTCCAAACTCCATTAGAGTTCGTGGTCTGATTGAACAAATAACTTCTTTCAATTAATTAAACTTTTTCTAAGTTATTGGTTGAAAAATGGCAAAAAGGAGTGAAAATTCGAAAGGTGGGTTGAGATAGGAAGTTGGCGTCCGAGTGGATCGAAGTCACGATAACTCAAGTGGTTAGAGCAGCGGCGTATCAAGCCTAAGATCGTGGGTTCGAATCCCGCTCGTGCCATTGACTTATTTATCTCAAACAAAATCTTACATTAAGTTTAATTAATTGAAAGAAGTTCTAAATTCCATTAGAGTTCGTGGTCCGGTTGAACAAATAACTTCTGAGTAGCTCAAGTGGTAGAGCAGCGGCGTATTTATCCGAAGGTCGTGGGTTCGAATCCCGCTCGTGACACTGACTATCCCAACTAATACCTTACTTAAAGTTTAATTAATTGAAAGAAGTTCTAAACTTCACTAAAGTGATAGAAATTTAATTGACATATTCAGAAAAGATTAAATGAAGCTGGAAATATGTGCATCGTAGGCAGTTGATTGTCACTCTTACCTAAAGCAAAACAGACAGTAGAAAAAACACAATATATCTATAATTCAAGGGCCTGGAAAATAAAATCCCAAAACTCGAAAAAAGAAAAGACTCTCTAAAAAGAAAGCAATTTTGATCTTAAAGATACTTACTGGTATGAACTGATAGGACCGGTCCCTGTACGGATTAGCAATTCGGGCAGAATAAAAAAAACACAGGCCGATTAACCACCTCGAAACTGGTGATATAAACACATAAACGTTGTAAAATAAGGAGGAAGTTTTGAAAATACAAGACAAGTGTGATATTCGTAGTAGGACCCTTAGTTCGGCACATTGCTCACTTTGGGTCACAGATTGACTCCGGTCCAATATATCCACGAGATTTTCCAAAGGGATTTTTCAGGCAGCTTCAGTATCAGACCCTAGCATCATATCTACCGTCCAACTAGTGACCGCTAAAATATCTGGCTATCATACAGTGGTTTAGGGTCGAAGGTACAGCTTGACAACCTCACTACTTCCAGATTAGAACCTCGGCGCTTCAACCACTTGAGCTACTTCTGACGGAAAACTTACTTTTCAGCTCAGTTACACTTTGAATTAAAAAAATAAATCAACTCATTAATTTTTAATTTTTTGAGTTATTCCTTAAATATTTCGGTTCCATAAGTAATTAATTTACTATCAAAGTATTAAAAGCGGATGGTCTGAATTAAAACTCGTTGAATACAGCGTAAAAAACCTTTCAAAAATGTACATATACACAAAAAAAAGCGCACTGTAAAATTTTGTTTACTGATTTAATTTGACAATGTTTTGGTCAGCTTTTTTGTATTCTACTTTTGATTTAATAATTATATTTAGACGAAAAGTATTTTTTTGTCGCCGATAGTTAGACAAAACCGGTTAATTCATAATTTGATAGAAAATCTTCACAATGTAAATCATCATCAGCATTTAATCCTTCAAAAATGCCTTTATTCAGTATTCTGTGGTACAAAACAAGACTATTGCAAAAATGCCCATAATCGGCGAGCAGTTGGTCGTAAATGAAGGAATGTTACGTTTTCAGACGAGCCCTAGTTTTCTTTCCATTCACAAGATGGATGTCTGCTGTAGGGATAATATACAAGAAAGAGCGTTAGAAGTTAGAGCTGCAGACGCATGGATAAAATCCTCGAGAGGGAGCTAACACCCGGGAAGGTACCAGGCAGCAGTTGGTAGAGGAAAACAGAAAAAATTCTTAATAGTTTTTTTTTCTAGATTTTCTATGTAAACGACCCTGCTGAGTTGATTGCTACAAGAATTAAGATCATCAACCACATAGTTTACGGATAAAAGCAAGTTCAAAGAAAACTAAGGTATGTTTAAAGTTCGTAGGTCCAGAGTTCTGTAGATATGTGATACAAAAGAATAAAATGTTTCCAGTCAAGTTTGAATTTCCTGTTGTGCTGAAATAAGGCATAATTAAAGTTTTTAAGAAAAATCAATTCCTGTACAATGCTGCGTTTTTAATTAATTTATTATTTGCTTAAAGCGAGGTTTGGGCATTTATTGATACTAAGAGGTTGCAAGATGTACTCGGAAACCAGGATCGGGACCCCCAAGAGCCAAGAGAACAGATGACCGATTTATCAGATTTCTCACTCTGATACATTACTTTTCCATTGCTTATGAAACGTCCCGAAGACTTCAACTCTGCGTGATGTGTCGGTTAGCGCTGGAACAGTAAGAACCGAGTCTATACCCGAGGAACGGTTCCAGCGCTTACCAGAGAATATCGTCGGGACCTTTGTTTTCCCGAGTACTCATCGTCAAGACAAGAGGATCTTTAACGTCAGCACCTAGCCTATTCGGCCTTATCGGACGTTTTGATTCTCAAGATGAGAACTGACGCCCTTCTGCATACGACGGAATGGTGTTACCGCCGCAGCCTTGGTGTAGAGGTTTCCCAGCCCCTAAGGGCCAGTACAACCACGCTCTCCGCTTGTCCACTCCGAATGGTCGGGCCCGCATTGTGCGTCGGGTCGTATGCCGCACGCGAGGGGCTAACAGGCCGAAATACATCGCCCCCCGCGTAGTACCTAGATAGAGAAGGCCACTCTATCTCTCTGAGTATAGAGGCTCCCCCAGGGTAGAAACTTCCGGGAACGCCCCGGCAGCGGTTTAGTTTAAAGTGGAATTGCTAACTACCCCCTAGATGAGCACCGCATACGGTAAAGTCTCTTATCGAGCTCAGCCTACACGTCTCATGCGCATTCGAGGGGCGCCAAAGGTTCAGCCTAGGTGGTCCGATCCTTCGCTTCCCCAAGGGTACCACGCCGATCATACGCACAACAAGGCAAATCATACTCGAGTCCAACACACCGACTCAATACCCGCTTCCTTTCGCTTACTTACGCATTCGAGGGACTATAGCATGATCATTACATCCTCAACGCTTACATGCTGTCGTCCGGTCGCAACGTCTCCCGTGAGGCCGGGGGGTTTTACGTTGGCCATACGCAAGCTTCACTTAGGTCACAGATAGAAGACAGCCTCTGTCTAAGATCGATCTGTCTAAAATCTGTCGGGACCTATTAGATTTTATAAGGGACAGAAACATTGGGCGGAAACAGTAATGAAGGAATGTTTTCACACGAGTCCCAGTTTTCTCTCTATCCACCAGAAGTACCTCTTCGAGTTTATCCAGCAGCTGTAGAGGCTACAATGCAACTTTGCCAGAAGAGGGTCGTTCGGAGTTCGTCCAATTATGGTGTGAAGTGGAATTTCTTTGGAGGCAAAAATAAAGTTATACATTTTTAATAGGATCATTTAATGCAGAAATGAACTAATTTGATTCTAAAGGATAAATCTAATTCTTGAGGAATATGTGGTGCCATTTGCTCTGTTTATTGGCGAGTATTTTTTTATGCAATACCAACCCTCGCCACCAGTGCTATGTAATACCTTTGAGAGGTCAACATTTACATCCTAAGACGCCCAGACCATATTTATGATTTGAACCCAACTGACTACTTTTGGGATGAGCTTGGTCGTTGGGTAAAACGAAGATATAACTGTCCTAAGCCTTAGCTGAGCAAAAGGTTATGTTACGCGAGATCTGAGATGAAATTCCTCAATAAGTGATTAAAGGCTTAATTTTGAGCATGATGAGAGTTTTAGAGTGAAAGAAGTGAAGAGAAAGAGGAAGTAATACACACTAAATTTTTTTAAGTGTTTCATAATATTTTCATACACAAAAAGTGATTTTTTCAGTTTTTAATTAATTTTATCGTTTTTAAATGATAATTTTATTTTCTCACTAATCAACTCTTTAAATAAGAAGTTGATTATAAAATATATATCAAAAATATATTAAAATTCAAAGTGGACCCTTTTTTTGTGGAGCAGTTTAGTTAAGACCCGATTCGTAACACTCTGTCCTCGGAGTTGGATAAAAACTTTTGGCTCGTGTAAAACTAGGCAAAAAATAAAAGTTTACGTTTCTTGGATTTCCTGCCAAAAACTCCCCAATAAAAAACATACTATTGGCGACAGAAGGCAATTCCCTGTATGTAGTGTGCACAACTTGCTTTCCTATCTTAAATATACGTGTTTGTATGATTCCGATTGAATTAGTACATTTTTTAATAGCTTTGCTTGTAAATTAATGATTTTTGGCCAGCAACTCTTAGTTTTGGAATCTCTTTCTTGGATTTTTTTCCCCAAAACTCCCTAATAAAAAATACAGTTGGGGACAAAAAGACAATTCACCCTGTATGTAGTATGTACTACTTGTTTTCCTATCTTAAATATATCTATTTGTATGATTTCAATTGAATTTATAGATTTTTTAGTAGAAAGGGGCATGTAAATTAATGATTTTTGGACGGCAACTCTTACTTTTGGAAGATATGACGTTTGAGGCAATGCAAATTTTTAATTTTTCAAAAAGTCGTTTCCAATCTGTTTGAAGGATGGAAAACCAAAAACGAAACTCGAGTCAAACTTTTCCGAGGTGCGAGACGAAAAGAAACCACGTCCGATTAGTAAAGTCGATCACGTTTTCAAATGGACTCTTGCCCAACTCGATCCACCACCACTTATGGACTCGTATATAAACGGTGTCGCCCTTCACAGCTCATCAAACATAGGACACACTCCAACAACCGAAATGGCATCCTCGAAAATTCTCGTAAGTCCGAGTGTTTTTCAGTTTTGGGTTTCAAATCACTTCTTTGGGAATTGAACCCTTGAAGGATAAAGACATATTTAACCTATGTGCTCTGTTTCGTTTGGAAACCGTTTGATTATTTTAATATATGATTGTATTTTCAGCTCGTAGCTCTTCTCATGATCGCCGCAGTGTCTTGCGCGCCTAGCTTCATCAAACCGTAAGTTTTCTATAATAATTTTTTAAACCTGCCCTGTAAAGAAATTGTTTTTAGTGTGACAAGGATCGTACATTATCACAGTGAGCCTGTGGCGCACTACGTCCATGCGAGACATTATCATCACGTCGAGCCGGTGCACTACGTCCATCCCCATTATCACCACCATCATCATCACGAAGAGGTCGTAGTAGACCACCACCACCACCATGAACACCTCCACGATTCCCCTGAATACGACCATCACTACCACCACTGAATATAAACTAAAAGCGTCATGTTTATATAAATATATGTACTGCGTATTACACTATGAATTTCTTTTTACAAATAAATTTTACTATTTTGAATCAGTGTTTGAATTCTTTTCTAAGAATCTTTGCAAAAAACCATGTTCAATTTTTTTCCTTTTTTACTAAATGATGAAATATGATTATTCTTACTAAATGTTGTGACCTCATGCCAACAAAAGTTTGCGTTAGTGTGTGTTTCTTAGTGGCCTGTTGTTTGATAATTTATTGGAGTCGTGAGGAGCGGTCAAGAATGATGTAGTTTAGTAAAAATCCTTTTTCAGTTTTTGCCGACGTTTCGACCTTTATTCGGGTCATCTTCAGGGCATAAAGTGTGGTGCTATTATTGTGGTGTAATATTGGTGTTGTGTTTGAGTGAATGTCTTAGTCTTAAGCAAGGAAATGACTTCAGTCAGCGTTGAGGACTATCAGGAATTAAACCTGAGGAAAGCTGGTTTACTAAGGAATTGGGATGACAAGTGACTGTAAGGATGAATTTGTTAATTAGAAATTTTATGGCGTGGAAAAAAAACCAGTATGTTAAGGTCATGGTGATGGGTAAGATTGAACATATAAAAACTGCAGTTTTTGGCTGGAAGGATTAAAATAATTGGATGCTTTGGCTGAAGCCAAATTTCCAAACAGTAAGTCCACGTATGTATAAGTAGTGAGTCTGCTTAAGGTTTCATGTTTGAGGTTACTTCCTGTAGTTAACTAACAATTCCATTAACCACTTCAATAATGGTTCCGTCATCTATGCAGAAGCCAATGGGCTCATAGCACTCCTCTATATAACCAGGGTCTCAACTGCCTGAAAATATTGTTAGGGATCGTTATTATCATGCATTATTGGAAACACTCCCTTAAGGCGGCCATTCACGATCACTCAAAATGGAACCGCGCCAAGCCGTACAGCTCCATTTGGAGTGCCCGAATTTTGAGGGGACATTCACGACCGCTCCACAGCCATTCGCTACGATCGTCAACCAGTGAATTACCTTCTCAAAATGGATGATCTCTTGTGCTACTCTTCTGTTTATTTACATATTAAAAGCAAAAAATCAAAGAGGAAATGGTGTAAGAAGTGGTTCCTGAACAGAAAGCGTAATACCAACATCAATTTGATGAAAACCCACTGATTGGAGGGACTATTTAAGGATGGATGAAACGTCTTATTTATTCATTTTATTTAGTGTTCTATTGACCAAATTACTTCTTTCAATTAATTAATCTTTTTTGTAAGGTTTTGGTTGAAATGAAAAAGCTAGTGCCACGAGCGGGATCTGAATCCATGGCCTTCAGCTAAATACGCCGCTGCCCTACCACTTGAGCTATCGTGACTTCGATCCTCTCTGATACCAAAAATGGCAAAAAGAGAAAAAGAGAAAAAATTCGAAAGGTTGTAGGTTGAGATGGGGAGTTGGTGCCCGAGTGGATCGAACTATCGAAGTCAGGATAGCTCAAGTGGTTAGCGCAGAGGCGGATTTAGCCGAATGTCGTGGATTCGAATCCCCTCGTGACACAATTTTTTCATTTCAACCAAAACCTTACAAAAAAAAAAACATTAACGACTTATTTATATTTAATCCAGCTTGTTATACCCTTGATTAGAAAACAAAAGATAGTCATGAGAGAAATCATCACTACATGAAAAGTTGGCAACCACATTACGATTTCTCGCTACAGGGATGAACTACAAAGAACTTAAGTTCTCTACTACGATTTCCGATCATTGTTGGGGGGTTATAAATACTGCATCTTTCATTGCATTTGTATCCTTGGTTTTGAAAACGTCGACCAACTGGTCGAGGATCGAATTTCTTTTATTTCTATCGTGGTAATCATTGTCCACCACTTTCATAAACATGGTAAACTTTTATACAATTCAATCACCTCAACAATAAAATCTCGATTGGATGTCATTACCAACAAAGAATAAACGTTTTCGACTTTTTGAGATTGTACGACGGAGATGTTTGCTCAGTGACAGAAAGACGGAGACTGCGCCAAAAAACGCGGGTTATCCCATTCACGACCAAGCCAGCGCTCCAATATTCCACCGTTCACGCCAGGTTTTCCCATTCACGAACGCGCCATGCCGTCGTCGCGCCGTAGATATTTGGTGTGGCGCGATGGAGTTTGGACCGGTCGAATATTCGGCACAGCCGGGCACGCCAGTTCAGTTTTGCCATTGACGTGGTTTTTGGAACGGCGTCGCTCCCTTTGGACTGCTAGGAGCGATCGTGAATGGCCACCTTTATAGATTTAAAAAATTGATATACCAATTCATTCTCCTCTTCTGGTGAATATGACACAGTCGTACAAGACATAACTGCGATCATCGACAATTGGTCTCACCCTGCTAAATTGTCATTAGCTGTTGAATGACAAAAAAATGAGAACTGCCTTAAATATCTATACGGATGGTTGCAAGGAAGGTGAAAACGCTGTATCGTACTTGCACAGGAAAAATAATTTCTAGTAAGAAGCAATTAATAGCTCTAGCCATTTTCACTTAGTCTGAAAGTATTCAAACATACTCTTACTGAAATAGCAAACCAGTTCAAAAATCCTCATTACATCGTTTTATTAGTTTAGTTCCCATCATGTCCAAAATATTTGAATAAAAAGTCTCCTTAAAATATTATTTCAGATTATTAATCTTCTCTACTCTTCTCGCAGATAATCAGTTTGGTTTTCGGTCATCTCAGGCCAGTAAGCAATGTAGATTATCTTCTCCTCTCTTGAGTGCAAAGAATAATTTATGGAACCTTTCTTTTTGTGGCACAAGCGTTGCCTATTTCGTACAATGGTCACCTTAGCACACTTACACGATGCTACGCCATGCGACGCTACCCGATGCTACCCGACGCCTTGCCACGTTTTGGTGGGGTGTGCACATCTATCCGACGCAAGCACACGTCGCGTACAGTCCACAGCGTTTATCACAATAATCACTATCACAATCGCAACGCATCTTTTGTTCTTAATGCACTATTTTGAGCAAAACCTTGTAATAAATTGTTAGTTAAATTTTATGAGCACAACCATCTAATAAATTGTTTGTTAAACTTAATTGTTTTAAATAAAGTTACTCCTAACCATCATAATTAAACAACGTTTATAAAAACTTATGCATTTTTGATCTCGTTTAATTTGGTTTACATTAAAATAACATGTTGTAATTAATATAACGACAAAATTACATGTACTTAGTTTGAAATAAACTACAAAAAATATGAGTGTCCTGTTCTGATGCTACCCGACATTACAAAATGGTGTAATTTTACGAGCAAAACTATGAAATAAATTGTTAATTAAATTTTATGAGCAAAACCGTGTAACAAATTGTTCCAATTTTAGTATATATACCGCCGAAGCGAGTACAATAAATTGTTAGTTAAATTCATTATATCAAAAAATCGTATTCCGGTGTTTTGATTAATTTTCTACCAAACCATTAAAATTAATTTTTTAAATAAAAACGAATTAATTTTTAATCACAGTTAATTTGGTGTATTTTAAAATAAATATGTTGTAATTAATATAACGACAATAATACATGTAGTTTGAATAAAAATATGAGTGTCCGGTTCTTTTGTCTTCGACTGTACTCGATGCGACCCGACGAACAGCTGGACATCGCAGAGCGTCGGGTAGGTTACCGTGGCATAGCATCGGGTAAATGTGCATGGGGGTAATGCAACCTTATGGAAAATCGGAGTTTGGATTTGCGTCGGGTAGCATCGGGTAGATGTGCACGGGGGTAATGCAACCTTATGGAAAATCGGAGTTTGGATTTGCGTCGGGTAGCATCGGGTAAGTGTGTTCTGGCTTAAAGCGTGTCCTTCCAATTATCATCTTAATCCATCGTTATTATCTAACAGTGCGGTTTTTCCAGTTCAAACAAGGATCAGTTTATTTCGACCCACCTTCTATAGCCTTTATACTTCAGATGTTCTCTCTAAACCCACCATCTTTCTTGTAGTTTTTACCGATGACCCCGCTGTACTATCCTCTAATCTGATCCTTCCTTTGCTTCGGAAGATCTGCAGAGACACATCACCTGCATAGCAGATTCGTGTAAACAGTAGAAAAGGAAGATAACTGTAAGTTATAAGGTTGCAAAATTGATTAATGCATACATTTTGTTTGTTATACAAACAACCCTGATAGGGACCTTCTTCCCCGCGGAGTGATAAGAAAAGCGGAGAGAAAGGGATTAAGTAGCTGGAGACGCTGGAGTCAACAATGGTGAGCCTATTCCCTACTTTTCGTTAATTCCTGGATCATTGTTCCTTTCTGGAGTGTACCCGCTCCTCGTTCAATTAGGTGTATTTGCTTGACTCTCCCATGCTTGGGTACCTGACCTGTTTGGACTGTAAATAGAAAAAATAAAATAGTATTTGTATTGAGTTGATTTATCTAAATTGAAATTTTGTTTTTCTGTAGAGGATTTTTATTTTTGTAAGAAATTTTATGGTTTGTTTCTTACATGGCATTTATTGCAACTATAGTTTTTTTTCATCTGATTTCATAAGGCCACATTATATTTTTGTATTTTACGTGTTCTTTTATATTTCTTTTTCCCAGTTCTTGTTTCCTTTTGGGAAATCTCAGAATTGTTTGGTCGAGGGCCGACGGGATCATTGGGAAGACTATCAAAGTAAATGCGCCCATGTCACATTTACACTCCGAAACAAATCTCTCAGACAGGGATCAAATTACTCTGAATATGGGCAGCAGGAGTTCCTCAGGGCAGTGTGCTCAGACCAATCCTCCTTATCATTTATACTGCACTACAACTACCATCCTTCTAGTATCTTTACCTTACCAAACATGATACTAGAAAGATTTGCTTTCTTATTTTATCTTAATGTGTGGTGTTTAGTGACCGTTAATGAATGATAATTTGGAGATTGTGATATGCGTGTGACGTAGGTTTAGAAAAACTTTTTTTATCGTGCCAAAGTTTGGATCTTTATAAAGTTAAAGCTTTAAATAAAGAAATCAAAAGAGGACGGTTT